AGGCCTGAAGGAATGTTGAGGGGGGGGGGGGGGGGGGGCCAGGGAAAACAAAATGTAAGCAGATTACATTTCAGCTTTAAATAGAAGTGTTTTCTTCACAATGACATCCTATATTACATGTTTCACATGTTCAATAACCTATGGCCCAGATGGCATACTCTTACTTGTTAAAAAAGGAAAATACAATAGCCATGAAAATCATTATCCGGGACCCTACTGGCATTAGCCTGATACAGTCCAAACAACTTTTCTTGTGCTTTGCAACTTAACAGCATGTGAGCCAATCAGGAACTCATGTTCTGAACTTATGCTTGGGCATCTTAACAAAATTATCATTATAAAAATAATTTAATAAGGAAAATGTTACACCCCCTTCCGCGGAGGGGGGGTTAGGGGGGGCTGGGAGAGAGCACCCCCCTGAAATGATGGCAGATAGCACAGGAAGCAATAGCTTCTTTGCTATCTGCAGACTTTTTTTTTTTTTAGTATTCTGCCAGTTGCAGTTGTTAGAATAAAAAAAAAAAGTGATGTGACCAGAAGAGGACCTGATAGAAAAATTCAGGTCCCCCTCTGCTGATTGCTAAGTGCAATAGCCAATAGGAATCTAGCTATGCAATCGTATGCCTTTTTTTTCTTTTGTGACTGACGGTAAGGCCGCGGCTCCCGATGTCAGAAAAGTTTTTTAAAAAACGATCGCAGGGAAAGGTTTAATCTGCTCGATTGAGCAGATTAATCCTTTCCGGTAAAAAGTGTTTCTCTCCCGGGCGGCCGGGAGAGTTGGGATGTGTACTCACCGGCCCAAGCTGCACCATCGGGTAACGAAGGGAAGGGGGAGGAGTCCAGTGACGTCACCGGACTCCTCCCCCTTCCCTTCGTTAGCTGACAGCCACTTGGGGAAGGGGGGAAGAGTCCGGTGACGTTGATGTCCGTGACGTCACCGGATCTCCGACGGAAGACCCGGAAGCCGACGGAGAGGTGAGTACGGATCAAAAGAACTTTGATCGATCAAAAGAATTTTGATCGATCAAAAAAATTAACGATTAATCGAGGGATTAATCGTTAATTTCCGCAGCCCTAATTAAAATCAATAAAAACGATTTAGGATTTATTTTTTTATCCATAATTTTAACATGTGTGTGCAGATGATTGCATTCTAATAGCCAATATGTATTGTTTGATAGGCTTTGTCTAATGGTAACTAGCCGCTTGGGTCTAGATTACCCAACTTGTTCGACCTTGTCTTGAAAATAGTGCTATTTTTTTACTCCCTTATCTTTCTTCCTTAAAAACCAGCTGCTAACTAACAGGCTCATGACAGGAAGTTTACATAAACCATCACAAAATAAAATAACTTTCTCAGTGGACTTTCTCCTGGAGTGCACAGAGGTCTTTGCCTGTATCCAGTCATTAATAAACAGGTCCTTTATTAAAACTTAAATACAACTTGCCCTCAACACTATCCTGCATTCATGTAAACTAATTGCTAATATATTTGAAAATGCTGGTAGCAGATCATGCCTTGGATATTCATGGATTAAAGCAGGCCTCTGTCCATTTATTGCAAAAATAATATGTGTTTATAGCATGCAATGCATGTACAGTGTATAGATAAAGCAACCACTTCAAAGGCAGCGTTATCCACAGGGCCAGATTTACCATTAGGCAGAGTAGGCAGGCGCCCTCCCATAGGTCATCAATCAACTCTATTCTCTAGGGAGGGTGAGGACTGTATCAGGCAGTCTAAACAGTCCCACATTAACCTTTTCATTCTAAATTGGAAAAGGGGAATCTGACTGGTCAGTACAGGGCAACTATTTAGAATATCTTTGGCTTGACAGTGAACAAAAATGTAGGAATGAAAGCACCACACCAATTAACCACTTGCTGACCAGGGTGTTAAACCCCCTTCCTGTCCAGGCCATTTTTCAGTATTTAGCACTGCAGTAATTTCACTGGCATTTATTCAGTCATGCAATGCTGTACTGAAATTAATTTTATACCATTTTTTGGGGACAGATAGAGCTTTCTTTTGGTGGTATTTAATCACCACTGGGGTTTTAATTTTTTAGCATATAACAAAAAAAAAAAAAACTAGGCGCACCCGAAGCATGTTTATGTGTGTTTTTTTACCATTAAAGGGTTTCTAAACCCTCCGGGGTTGTTTTTGCCTATATCTACTGCTAGCAAGCAGTAGGTATAAGCAACATTTTTTTCAAAAATTAGAAAACGCTTTTTAAACAGCGGTTTAAACTTACCCACTCCCGCCTGAGAATCCGTAACTGCGCGGGCAGGTGCAGTTGGGATTTTCGGCCGGGAGACGAGCAGAGACGCAAGGTAATTCTATGGACGCATGCACCCGCACGCAGACACGCGGGATCGGAAGTGCCAGCAAGGACAGAGGAGTCAGTGCTGGATCGGAGAGCCACCGCACTGCTGGAGGGACAGATGAAAACATCAGGAAAGAAGAAGATCGGAATAAGAGACATAATTTAAGGTAAGTGCTAACATTAGCATTGGGGGAGGGAGATTTTTTTTTTACTTTAATGTCACTTTAACTTTATTGCTATCACATAGGGGGTAAGATGCCCCCTATGTGATAGCCAATTTATGCGACAGCTCCTCTTTATGGAGACCCCTCATGTCACCTAGGGACCCCAGAGAAGCTGATGAAGGAGAGCAGCAGAAAATACAAGCGATCGGGCATCTCTACTGATGCCGTAATGCTTGTATGTAAACAGCCATCGCTGGCTGTTTAAATTTCTGACCGTATCCCCACAAATTGAGGCGGGGAGGGAAATCTTAAAACACTCACCCGCATCTGCAAGCCTCCTGTCCGGCCATTTAGGTGCGGTCAATGGACGGGAGGTGTTAAAATAGTCCAGACACAACTTCATTCCATTAGGAAAAACACAGGCGAACATCTGTATCAAGATACAATATCAAATATGTGTTCCTTTTAAATTTTGATACAGATGTTGCCTTGGTGGCAGAATGCATTTGCCTACCACCAGACAGACAAGTATACAACTTTTTCTTCTACGGGGCAGTTATTTTAGATTTTTTTTTATGCTAGCTACATGGTCTTTTTAATCTGTAAGTAGGAGATTTTCCTTCTGTTCCTATTCTCTGAAGTGGAAGGCTGCAGCTTAATATTCTTTTGTTCCCTGAAAGTTAGCTTGTGGAAATCAATTGTACATAGAAAAGTTATAACATCCTGATAGATTTTTGGCTCTCATTTTAAAGTTTTCAAGACTAAAACATTACACAGAAATAAATTACCACTAAGATTCACCTTGATGAGTTTTCTCTAGCAGGCCAAGGGCAACACAGGCATCAAGAAGCCTTTCAGTTCCACGTACAGAAGCATTAATCTTATCCGCAATATCCATGGCCTTCAGCGCACCTTTATCTTTCAACTTATCAAAGACCTTCAGTTTAGATGCTGCAAACAATGTCTGTAAACAGAAAGACAAACAGAGGAAATCACAGTACTGGACATTTATCTACATTGTACACATGGACAAGGACTAGTCTGGTTTATACATATTATACATGAAACACTTTTTGTTAGTAGTAAAAAAAAAAAAAACATGAAACATATTTGGGAAGTTTAAAAATATACAAGACATGTTACTAATAGAATATTACATAGCACATTGAAAGAACGTTTAGGTGTACGTGTAGTCAGAAATGAAAAATTACATATGTAATACAGTAGAGTGTAATATGCGATAACTCGAGGTTTAAAAAAAAAAATCTGTTAAAATAAAAGTAAATCCAAACTTTTTTTTCTTTTTACTTTAATTTACTTTACTTCTCTTTTGGGTAACAGAAGTACATTTACAAATGTACCCCTGTGACCCAAAGTCAACAGATAATGTGCTAAAATCCGCCATCTGCTAACAGTGCAGGGTCATGACGCATTCACCAGGCTCCTTAAGCGACAGCTGCCTCTACCATTCTAGAGCAAGAGCTAGCGGTGCCCACCCCCTACTGTCTGCCTGTCCCTCCAGTGATTGTGAGCTGAGCAATCAGCAGTTACATAATTTCTCAGCTTTCGGTATACGGCTGGCAGGTGACAGCTGCAGTGTCCCATGTCCGCTCTAAGAAGTGAGGAGAGTATGTTTTACTCTCCCTGCACTTCCCATTTAATGCTTCCAGTACCCGTAACGTCACTTAGGCCCCTTTCACATGAGCGGTCGGATCGGGTCCACCTGTCAGTTTTTCAGCTGGACCCAATTGGACGCTCTACACAAGTCTATGGGCAGCCATGTGTAAATGGATGAGGGTCCGTTTACACCCGGTTAGCCCCGGCCCGGTCACTGATCCATTTTGACAGACCGGATCGTGCCAGATCAGGGCTAATCTGATGTAAACGGACACATGTTCATTTACATCAAATTCCCCATAGACACACATAGGGTCGGGGACTTTCATTTTTTCCCCCATCGCAAGATGGAGAAAAAAAAACAAAACTGTACAGACACAGATGTCACAGCGGTGACATATGATCCATACTTCTGGGATCAGGAGAGGATCTGTGCACGGATCCTCTCCTGACACAATCATGTAAAAAGGGGCCTTAGAGGAAATATGCAACTAGCACATAGATCTTTATTACAAAGTCGAGATTTTTTTTATTGGAGAAATCCACAACGACCCCTTGGTCAGGTTGATGAAGGGGTTCTGTGCAGCCAGAAACATTGCACTATATTGGACTGTGATGTGATCACACCAATAAAGAATTGGGTTGTATAACAAAGATCCATGGTATGTTGGAAACATAATACCTATACAGTTTATACAAGTTAAGCATTCTGCAGTTTCTAGTTTCAGCCTTTAGGGCTAGTTCACACCATCTTCAGTGCGTTCCGACCACAATCGAGCCGGAACGCACTGGATCACATTTCGGCTGGCTGTTTTGGGGCGGGCGGGGGCATGGCAGTGCATTGAACGCAATGGCACCGTAGCCACACACCCCGGCCGCAATGCGATTGGCTGCACTGGAGCGCATGGCACATCAGTGCCTGCGTTCCGGTCAAAAAAAAAAGTGCATGCACTACTTTTTCTTACTTGACCTGGCCCGGAACGCCCCCTCCCACCCTAATCAGGACAGAATGCACTGAGGATAGTGTGAACTAGCCCTTAAACTTCAGGTCTTTTGCAGTAATAAGTGCAATGGGAATGAGAAGTAATTCCTTGAATAGGGTGGAATAGCTGACCCAACCCTTTTATTTACCGTCCGAGCCAAAAGAACTTTGAGAGGCTGCTTAAGGATAAAAAAAAAAAAAATCTGCAGAAGAGAAAACCAAGGGAAGTCTCTTGCATTGTGGGGTATCATGGTTGAATCCGCATACTTAGATTCAGATATATGTTACAGTCACATTGACTTTAAATATCCCAAGCTGAAGGAATACATTATAGTAGGCACCCAATGATGCCTTCATATAAAGTCACATAGAGCAGACCATCCTAGGGAGTCCCAAAGCTGGGGTGAGCATTAACATGCAAATTGCAACTTTCAATCTCAAGCTGCAAAGGACCCTCCAATGCCACTGGTCAGTGAAACTGTACATAATAAGGATTAATCAATTGCAAGGAAAGTTGAAATGCTATTTGCGTATTAGAGTCCCTCTGGTTTCTTGATGAACTCTGTAAGCTATGTTTACATAAGTAAAGGCACCTTTCTTGTCTGCCTTTGATACAGGACATTTAAAGTAAAGACAGATACAATCATATAGTAACACATTTAAAAAAAACTGGTAAAAGATTAATTCACTCCAAACCAAAATTTCAGTTTTACGTAAATGCTGGGAGGGTGAATCATCCATCAGCTCTGTATAACTCCCAGGGCCTTCAATGTCAAAATTTCTATACCTGACATCCAAGATACACCTACATACTATTATGTAAGAGCCTGTTAAGAGTTGTTTCATTTCATAGATAGCAGCAGAATGAATAATGGAACTCCATGCCATAGGAGGAGGATGAAAGTGAAATTCTGACCATGAATGTGATTTTAATTCGGTACAAATTATACATATTGTAACATGCATGTGCTAGGCACAAAATAAATCTGTTTAATATGTCTAAGATTCTTTTTAAGTAGCAGGTCTGGATGAAATTAAGGGCTTTTGAACTCAATTAGTTGACTTTGTGGTGGCAAGATCGAATGCTCCGATTAATTATTTCAAATGGAAATTCTAATTCATGTATGGCCATCTTTAGAACAGGTTAGGATCAAGTAAACCTGTCCTTTCGGTAGACTTATACTCAAATGTTTACAATTTTTTTTACTGGTATTAATGCAATGAGTTATTCAAATGTATGACTCACTGACTTTTAAGGTACCTCAGAGGACACATAGTTAGATATTAAATGTCATATTTAGTTTAATTAATTCATTAAATCCCATATGATACAAACTTAATGTATGATTGTTAAAAACAGTATATAAATAAAAAAGGAAGCCCCCACTTTGTCATTCCATAATTGTCACATATGTATCACATCATTGCCAAATTCCAAATGGACACCATAAAACCTTAGTGCAGAGTAATGATGCTGTCCATCATTATGATGTGCTTGACAAGATACTGTATGTTGATAGAGAAGGTCATTTTACGCATTTCATGGTGCAAACGGCTTCCTCAGGAAACAACTACAACAATTTAAAACTATGTACAGTAATCAGAGATTTAGTCACTTGAAATTATTACACTTGCAAATTCATTGTAGAACAAATTGCAGTTTCTTTTTAACTGAGCCTTTCAGGGCTCTATATACGTATTGTATAAAAATACTTTATATAGGAACAACAGATATGCAAATGTAATATTTTTTCAAGTGACTAAATTGTTGATACCCTTAAAGCTCATTGAAATAAAATGCTTTGCTGCTCCTAAAAGGGATGAGAAAAGCAAATGTCTTGTGTAGCAGTCTTTGCTATATCTTGTAATAAAGCAAACAAAGAGACAAATTAGTACCTATTCTAGAAAGATATTTTAAAACCCCCTGGACAGATGTGTTGGTACTGCTAGAAAAATAAGATATAATTGGATTATAGTGATATTTCAAACTAACTGTTTTCTGTTAAATAAGTATCACACTTACCTTCAATCTTTTAATCAGTCAATAGCCTATCTAAATGGAGAAAATTATTCACTCTGTTTTTAGTATTACCATGTGCATTACACTAAATGTGGTCCAGAGGAAGCAAAGGAAAAGGTTGTCGGAGAAGATCAGAAATAATATAGACCAGCATGTTAAAGGTTAAGGCTATAAGATCATCTCCAAGCAGTTTGATGCTCCTGTGACTACAATTACAAATATTAGGGTCGGTGGGAGTGTAGCCAACATCCTTGGACATGGCTGCAAGAGGAACAATTACTCCAGATTTAACAGAAGGATAGTGTGAATGGTAGAGAGCCAAGAAAAACTCTCAAGAGATACAAGCTGAATTCCAAGGTCAACATACATCAGAGTCTGATCATACCATCTGTCATTTTTTTATGCAACAGTGGGCTCAAAGAAAGAAAACACTGACTTTTACTGTTGAAACATAAATAGAAAATAAGAGAGACTTGAATTTGCGAAAATGCATACCGACAGGCTACAATGCCTCTGTAAGAACATCTTTTGGACATGGAAGACAAAGCAGGAGCTTTTTGGCAAGTAACATAAGCTCTATGTTCACAGACAAAACAAGTAAACTTTCAAACAAAATAACACTCTACCTACTGTGAAACATGGAAAAGGCTCTATTATGTTTTGGAGCTGGTTTGCTGCATTTGGCATGGGCTGCCATAAATTGGTGCAAGGCACAATGAAATCTCAAGACCATCAGGGAATTCTGCAGTGAAACATACTGCCCTGTATCAGAAAGCTCTTTCTCAGTCGCAGATTGTGGGTCCTCCAACAGAATAATGAACCAAAACACACAGCTAAAAGCACCCAAGAATGTCTAAGGACAAACAACTGCACTGCACTGCAACCAATCAGCTTCTCTCTCTCATTTTAAAATCTTAACTGAGCAAACTGAAGAGATGCTGATTGATTGCCATGGGCAACTGCTCCAGATTCTATCTGCTCTGGTTTTGGTAAATTCCACCCACTATATTTAGATGAATGACTGGATTTGAGCAGAAAAAGGACATACAATTCTGTATATCACATACCTTTGATGCTTTAAAGCCATCCAGAAGTTCAATAATTTTTGAGGGCAGCTGAACACTGCTTTTAGGCTTTTCTTCAACTCCATTTTGAATAACTGTTATATGTTTCAAAGAGGGTCCAGAACTACAAGGATTACTGTCGCAATCCCTCTGTGCTTTCTTCTTGTCGGTCTTACTGGGAGAGAAGCAGTCTTTCTCCACATCACTGAGGTTCTCAAAGCTCTCTACATATGGAATGGAGTCATGTTTTATCCTATGAATGGATTGTTTGGAAGGTGGATAGTAGATCTCTGCAAGCTTTTTGCAGAAGTGGTTCAGGGGAAAACCAACTACATTTAGAAAGTCTCCGTGTACACTTTCTACTAACATTCCCCCGAGAGACTGAATCCCATAGCCACCTGCTTTGTCCCTGGAAAAAAAAACAAAGAGTCATTAGACAATTTTATAAATTAATATACTTGTCCTTCATGGCAATCTACTTGTCCCAATACAAAAAAAATTGTTTTAATCAAAACTAGGAATGTAACAATACCGTTTTTTCGGTATCGAGTACGAGTACCGATTTTTGGCTTTTGGTACTTGCCGATACCAATGCAGGTGCTTCCGCTCGCATGGAGCAGGCTTCCCGGTTAATCAGGAAACCAGGAGGTGGGTCATTACTTGCTGCACGGATTCCTGATTGCACAGGAAGGCGGCTCCATTTTGTTTGGCCTGCTTGATTGTGATTGGCCGGGATACCGGCCTCACAGCCAATCAGGAAGCTGGGCAGCGAGTAATGACCTGATTGACTGGGAAGCCGGCTCGATGCTGATTGGCCGGGAAGCCGGCTTTCCAGCCAATCAGCAAGGAGCCGGCTTCCCAGCCAAACAGGAGACCAGGACGCGGGTCATTACTTGCCGCACGGCTTCCTGACTGCAGGGGAAGATGGCTCCATGTTCCTCAATGGCACTGCCGGTCAGAGGAAAATTTTCCTCTGGCCGTAAGTTCCTTCGGGGAAGGTATCGGAGCATTTAAGTGAGTACAAGTACTCACCCAAATACTCTGTATCGGCACTGATACTAGTATCGGTGCATCCCTAATCAAAACGTATTTGACTGTCCACGCTGACCAATGAGTGCTTGCAATTTGTGAGCGAAATTCAAAATACATAGGGCAGGACAGCGCTGGACAGCAGTATGTGGTACAGATAGTACACCCATACTGGCGGAGGGGAGAGACTGTTCCTCGAAAGGTAAGTATAGCCGGGCAGTGATGCGTTTATTTGCATGCAGATGGCAGGGGCAGCGGGGTTGGTTTTAATTTTTATTTATTTTATTTTTTACATTTTTATATATTTTATTTTTTACTTTTTTTTTATTATTTACTAATTTTTTTCCACCTAATTTTATTCCTATCACAACTGCACAGCCCCCCTGAGACCCTGCAGACTGCAGGGCCTCCAGGGGGCTGTGCAGGATCTGTGGAGGGCTTTGCAGGGTTTAGGGCCTGTGCAGTATCTGTGGTTGGCTCTGCCCACCATAGACCGATCAGAGCTCACCCCAAATCCTGCTAAGCCCCCCTGAGACCACAGCTTTCCTGCTATGCTAATAGCGCAACATGTCAAAAGCTGGATAGTGTTTGCACTGTATCCAGCGACTGACAGGTCACGCAAAAAGTATTAAACAGGAAGGGGTGGGGTAAATTTAGTGGGGGTGCCCAAGTTTTGCCTTGCCTAGGGCAGCCCCAAACCAGAATACACCACTGCGTTCAGGGACCACCAATTGAAATAGATCCGACTGACCCGGCTTGCAAATAAACAGGTAGGTTAGACAGCTGCTTCCTCCCCCCGGGAGGCCCCCGCAAGCGGCCGTCTAATCTGCCTGTTACAGATGCGATCCGGGACGTTCAGGTCCCCCGTGAGAGCCGTACAAGGCTGTTAGGCAGTGATGTTGAACGTTTCTTAAACCCGAGCTCCCAAACTGCAATACCAAACTTATTTTCAGCGCTGGCACTTTGAGATAAATAAATTGATTTTGCGTCGCAGTTTGGGCACTCGGGTTCAAAAAGTTTCGCCATCACTGACATAGGGGCTTAAAATCCCCTATGTGATAGTTTGGAGGTGGCAGGTTTTCTTTATGGAACCTGCCCTCCAACACAGAACAGATGTTCTGTGCAATTCCTGACAGCTGAGACAGGTGCCACTATGGTTACAGCGCTACGGTCTCAGTGATCACACAGAGCAGACGAAGAATGGACATTCTTCATCTGCTCTACAGGCTCTATGGCTGAGCCATTGTCCCGGGTCCCCCAGAAGAGCAGGGGACCCCAAAAACCACAGCGGGGGTGCGGACGGACACGATCGCCGCGGCTCGATTGATACAAGTGATCTGATCAGATCACTTGTACTAAACGAGCGGCGGCTCTCCACTGTACATTTAGCTCTGCTTGTCCGGAGCAGGGCTAAATGTACAAAAAAACAACTCGCCCAGCGCCTAAAACTGCATGTCCCGGGCGTCGGGCAATAGGAATTCCACACCCCTGAAAGAATATAACTTTACTTTATTAAAAGGTATACACAGTATTTAGGCTTCCGTAAGCCTAACAATTATGTTAAACCCCCTTCCTGGCCAGGCCATTTTTCAGTATTCGGCGCTGTGGTACTTTGACTGACGTTTATTCAGTCATGCAACCTGTACTGAAATTAATTTTATACCATTTTTTGGGGACAGATAGAGCTTTCTTTTGGTGGTATTTAGTCACCACTGGGGTTTTAATTTTTTACTATATATGAGAAAAAAAAGTGCACTAAATTTTGAAAAAAAAACCTGTTTACCTATGAAATGTTATGAAACATTTATTATCGCCCCAATTTTTTTGTAAAATATAAAAGACGGGGTCACATCGGGTAAATAGACATAAAAACAAACATGTCAAGCTTTAAAATTGCGCGCGCCCGCGAAATCGCAGACGACGACCACACCCATAGGCAATGCTTTCAAAGCTTTTACCGCTCATCAGTTTAGTGTTATCAGTAATTAATGGCCCTAAAATTATTGCTCTCATTCCGACGTTCGTGGCAATATGTAACATGTGCGGCACAATAGGCTGAATCCTCGTTTTTGCACGTTGGCGCACCCGACACGTTTGCGTGTGTATGTAGGGGGGCTTTGAAAAAAAAAATTGTGTTATTTAAAAAAAAAAAAAAATTCTTTTTTATGCTTTAATTTTTTTTAAACTTTTTTTTTAGACAACTTTATTGCTATCACATAATGGACTAAGATAGCCAATTCACATGACAGGTCCTCTTTATGGAGACATCAGGGGTCTCCAAGACCCCTGTCACCTAGGGACCCCCAGAGAAGCTGATGAAGCAGAGATCTGCTTCATCAGCTGCTCACTGGCATCTGTAACCGGAGAGTGACACTGAATGCAGGAAGTGATGTAAGGTTTGTTAGGTGCAGCTACTACAAGCGATCGGGTGTCTCTAGAGACGCCCGATCGCTTGAATGTAACAGCCAACGCTGGCTTTTTAAATTGCTGACACAGGAGCGGGGAGAAGGGCAGGACCTCTTCCCGCCCTCCGGCTCCTATAAGGGTCCTGTCCGGCCATTCAGGAACGGCCATGGGTGGGAGGTGGTTAATGCTAGTCAGGAAACAGGTTCTCTTGGATGGATGGCAGAAGTACATTTAAATATTTTATATGAATTAATTTTATAGGAAGGCGATGGAATACATCAAAGGTTATAATGTATCTAGAGCTACTGCCTACATCTGGTGGTGCCATCCCATTCTTGATAAATCGTTCTGAATAAATAATCTGACAAACTGTCCTAATACTATAAACATGTTGGCTCTTTCCCTCACTTGTAGTTCCAGAGACAGTGGTCACCAGAGCAAAAAGAGAAAGTGAGATCTAACCCTATCATCACCATATTCAAAACTAAAAAAAGAAGAAAAAAAAAAGTTTTGGCTTAAGATACAATTTTATTTTGTTGGACATC